CACATTATAAATTTCACGAATATGAGTGACTACAACAAATTTTTTAAATTAATGGGTGATACAAATCTGAATGTACAAATACCAGTTGCCCAATTTATCAAAAATAACACGAACCTTAGACAGCAACATCTTCTGGTAAATTAACATAAATACTTTTCTCCTTTAATACGTTTTTTTTTCTCATTTCCATCTTTCATTGATTTACTGTTTATTGCTTTTTTTATTATTATTATTTCATGTATTTTTTTTCCCCAATATTATTATCAACATTTATTAATAGTTTTTTGTAATTGTAGTCTGTTGATTTATTTTTTAAACCATTGTTGTGCTTTAGACAGTAATTCTTGTAAAATTTGTATGTTTTATATATGTGTTTTAGCAGTTAGTGTAACCATTTTAATTCCTTCTGAGGAATTTTTAAGTGTTTCAATAAACCTGCATGGATTGTTTTTTTCTTGTTATCATGGAATCTGCCATTTTATTTTTTACAGAAAAACTTTGAAACCACCTAGACCACCTCCACCACAGTTGCAATCAACAGCTAAAGATGAGCTTGAAGATGAATTGAAACATCTTGAACTATTAAAGAAAGAGGCTGAAGAAAGAAGGCGATTAGAAGATGAAGAGATTCAACAAAGAATTAAACTACTGGAAATTAAAAAACAAGAAGAAGATGAACGAAATAGACAGGTATATGTTCGCACTATATGTGTTCAAATAAAATAGTCTGACCATGATAATAATGGCCGTGGATTGGGCAATGACAGTTAGTTGTATTGAAGACACTTGTGTATCAAAGTAGAAAAGTATACATTTCTATGTGGTTGAGATACTAATTTTTAGTCTCTATTCAGAAAAGAGAGAACTGATCTACATTGTGTGTCTATCAGCCCGTCCAGACCTGTATCACGGAGATGCCTCTGCCAATCACATTCAAACTTCACACACACACATCATATGTCTCAGGATACATATACACGTCCATTCCTTTCATGATCTGATTAAAGATGGCCAAATGGCAGCCATTTTTGTGCTTAAAATTCATAAAATATATAAAGCATTTCTGTCATTTCAAAACCAGATCTGGATAGTGTGTGGATGGATTTTGTTCAAACTTCATACATACATTGCATAATTATGAGACCTTGATGCACATTTTGTTTTCAGATTTTTTTGATGAATGTGTTTCCAGAACTGTATATCTGACATACCTTGGCTGATCGTGTTCAAACTTTTAAATATATCTTGTAGCACATATGCTCGTAGATTTGTTTGAACATCAAATTTAAGTTGTTCAAATGGTAGCCATTTTAATTCATCAAAGCATTTCTGCCATTCCGGAACCAGATCTTTGTCACATATTAATTAATGGCTTTTGTTTAAACTTTGTTGCAAATAGTGCATTAGACATTCTGGGATCTTGATACACATCATTTTCTTTTTTCAGATCAGTTCAAAATGGTCATCATATCATTTGTTTCATGTTTTATTTCAAAATGGCTTTTTTCCGTTTTGGTTACTATTGAAACAACGGGGACATGACTTGTTGAAAATGGTAATCCATGACCAACAAGGCTAGATCCGTTTCGTGGGCCCTGTAGAGTGAATTGGTAATATTTAGTATCTGTGTCATGGGCCCTGGAGAGTGAATATATTGTATTTGCACTTATTTTTAGCACATGATGTGGGTTCAAATCAACTAATTTTTTTCAGTTTAATTTAAATTTCAAAGAAATCAAAATATTTGAATGTATAGTAGTTATTATATTTTAATAGCATATTGGTATTTAAGGTATGAATGTTTGGCAAGTATATCTCAAAATGTTGCACAGAAACGCAACAGTAGTGTTGATTGTTTGCTTTTCTGTCTCAGTGACAAGGATGTTATCTTGCTTTTCAGGAACAAGAACGGCTGCGGAAAGAGGAAGAAGAAAAAGAACGACAGGTATATTTGTTATAAAGCTGTCTGCACTGATCCATTTTGAATATACAATAACAAAAATCACAGATAACATCAACATTTGTATGACCAATTAAATGATATTACATTTGATGACGCAGTGATTTTGCTCCTTTTTAAACATTTTGTGAAATTATAAAGCTGATATTACTGTAGTTGTGTCCAGGGTTCTAAACATATTCAGGGTCCTAAACATGTTAAAAAATAGGGGTGGCGTATGCCTGGACATCCCCTGCAAAAAAACGAATAGAATGGCAAATGAAAACATGCAACAGAAATGAATCAACAATATGCAACATTAGAAATATAACAAAAAAAAATGTATTACTTGTAACGTGACAAATAAATCAGAAATAATAAAAATTGATAGTGAGGAATCATTTGAATTAGGATTTCCCTGCTGCAAAAAAGCTCAATACGCGTGAACTCAAAATGAACTAAAATGTCAGAGGTTAAACTGCATGAAATTATTACCGGTTTTGAAAAATAGCGGTTCAACAGTCATACACTAACAATTATAATTTACGAATTTACACAGTAAAATTATGAAAGTTCATAGTTGTTTGAAAAAACTGTCACTGTTGCCGTCAAACAAAATCCTTACAGCTTTGTCCTGAAGTTCTTTAATTTATGAAATAAGTAAACTTGAATCACTCTCATATCAGTATTAAGTGTATTTCCTCATCATTTATGAAATAAGTAAACTTGAATCACTCTCATATCAGTATTAAGTGTATTTCCTCATCATTTATGAAATAAGTAAACTTGAATCACTCTCATATCAGTATTAAGTGTATTTCCTCATCATTTATGAAATAAGTAAACTTGAATCACTCTCATATCAGTATTAAGTGTATTTCCACATCATTTGATCAGATATGTTATGGAGAAAACACAGATGACATTAATAAATACTGTTTCATTTGCCCTTTGCACTTACCTAAATAACATATTAGCATAAATGGATCAGTGCATGTTTGTTCCCTCAACACATCACTTTTGGGCATATTTTTTGATATAAATACTCGCAATTTATCCCAGGATAGCTCTGTAGAACAACAAAATTGTCAAACAAACTAAAATTTGTCAAACTGTTATGCAGATTAAGTGAATAATATACATGAATTTGATCTAAAACCAGTCTGGCATATTATACTAAAGCACACATGTATCAAATTTTTTTGATTAAAAAAATGAGATCAGCTAAAAAAAATAAAGAGCATAACTACCTCATTATGTCCTGTCTTTTGAACTAAAATGGCCATCAGTTTGTCATTTTGAATCTATTGCAAATTCTACGCCTCCATAAGATCTCCATAAAAAGTTTGAATCAAATTGTAGCATATTCTTGCAACAGTTGGTGACACATATAAGTTAAAGGACCTAATTGGCTAGATGCCAGATTGTGTGGACACTATGTATTCTCTGTAGTCAAAGGCATACAAATCTGAGTAGTTTGAATTTTTTTGTTCAGAGACTTTTAGCAGAGGAAGAGAGAAGACGAAATGAGGAAGAGGAGAGAAAAAGAAAAGAAGAGGAAGAAAAAGAGAAACAGGTTTGTCAATGTTGCAATAGGTTTAGGAAAGTTTTTATTTGGCAGAGAAATAATGAAACAAAATATGGGTCCTATACTGCTCACAGCAACCTATACACATATAGGTCAAATATGTTGTTTCATGTGCTCATATATTCTAGACTAAACCCACACTTGCTGCTTACAATTCATTTTAGGAAGCAGAAAAAAGAAGAATTGAGAATGAAAGAAGACGAAAGAGACTGGAGGAAATGAGACGGAAAGTTGAAGAGGATAATGAAGATGATTCAAATAAATCATCAAAAATAGATTTGCCAGAAATTACCTTACCATCTCTGCAGATAGATGTAGATAAATCCTCAAACATAGAGAATAATCAACACCATAATGATCAGCTTAAATTGAAAACTATTGAAAAAAATGAGATTTCCTGTCCCAGATCGGAGAACTTTGGAGTGGAGCCTGATATTTTGGCGAGTATTAAGGACAGACCAACTGATTTAGCAGTTTCTGTAGCATCACCTGAGATTATGCCTGCACCTATTGCCCCACCTAGGAGAAGGAAGAAAAAGAAACAGATTTTTGATGATGGAGTAGGTATCCTAGCTTTTTACAACACACAATTATTGTGGTTCATACATAGATTGTTTAAATAACTGCTATCACAAATATGATGCACTGAAGTGGATATCAATTCAGATATTCTGTCCATTCATCTTGTCCTGCTATACACTGTTGTCTTTGCATGGGATTAATGTATGAGGTGCTCCATTAAAATCTGCCACACCAATCAATGTATGTGTATGAGTTGTGTCTGGGTGGTATATGAACATCATCTGATTGGGTTGTATGTGAACATCATCAGACTGGGTGGTTATGTGAACATAATCTGACTGGGTGGTATGTGAACATCATCAGACTGGGTGGTTATGTGAACATAATCTGACTGGGTGGTATGTGAACATCATCATCTGACTGGGTGGTATGTGAACATCATCTGACTGGGTGGTATGTGAACATCATCTGACTGGGTGGTATGTGAACATCATCTGACTGGGTGATATGTGAACATCATCTGACTGGGTTGTATGTGAACATCATCAGACTGGGTGGTATGTGAACATCATCTGACTGGGTGGTTTGAGAACACCATCTGACTGGGTGGTATGTGAACATCATCTGACTGGGTTGTATGTGAACATCATCTGACTGGGTGGTATGTGAACATCATCTGACTGGGTGGTTTGATAACATCATCTGACTGGGTGGTATGTGAACATCATCTGACTGGGTGGTATGTGAACATCATCCGACTGGGTGGTATGTGAACATCATCCGACTGGGTGGTATGTGAACATCATCCGACTGGGTGGTATGTGAACATCATCCGACTGGGCGGTATGTGAACATCATCTGACTGGGTGGTATGTGAACATCATCTGACTGGGTGGTATGTGAACATCATCTCACTGGGTGGTATGTGAACATCATCTCACTGGGTGGTATGTGAACATCAATGTCCGCTTCTCCAGTACTGACTAAAAGAAACATTTTGCCACTCTATATTTAACAATTATCTATCGCCAAAAACAACCTTGCCTATCTATTGCCATAAAACAAACACAAAACATCACGACATGCAACATAAACATGATTTAAAGTTTGACATTCGTGACAATCTGACTATGTTGTATGAGAACATCATCTTCTGACTGGGTGGTATGTGAACATCATCATCTGACTGGGTGGTATGAGAACATCATCTGACTGGGTGGTATGTGAACATCATCAGACTGGGTGGTTATGTGAACATCATCAGACTGGGTGGTATGTGAACATCATCATCTGACTGGGTGGTATGTGAACATCATCTGACTGGGTGGTATGTGAACATCATCAGACTGGGTGGTTATGTGAACATCATCTGACTGGGTGGTATGTGAACATCATCATCTGACTGGGTGGTATGTGAACATCATCTGACTGGGTGGTATGTGAACATCATCATCTGACTGGGTGGTATGTGAACATCATCTGACTGGATGGTATGTGAACATCATCTGACTGGATGGTATGTGAACATCATCTGACTGGGTGGTATGAGAACATCATAATCTGACTGGGTGGTATGTGAACATCATCTGACTGGGTGGTATGTGAACATCATCATCTGACTGGGTGGTATCTGAACATCATCTGACTGGATGGTATGTGAACATCATCTGACTGGGTGGTATGAGAACATCATCTGACTGGGTGGTATGTGAACATCATCATCTGACTGGGTGGTATATTTATCTGATATGCTTGGCCAATATGGTATGAATATAATAGGTAATTGTTGTGCATTATTTTGTCTGGGATTTAATTAAACATTTTCTTTCTTTATTTATGCATTATATTTCAAAGTTACCTACCATAATGCTCCATGACTTTATGGTATATGCTGTCACATGTCAATGATCAGGACTTTGTCATTTCCTACAACTTCTTTACCTAAGGATACTTCTTCAGTTGCTTCAATGGAAATGGAGACACCGGCAGAGGAGCAATCAACAACTCAATCAATTGGTTTGCCAGTGTGTGATAGGCCTCCTAGTGAGATATTGACTCCAACTACAACGATTGAAAGTATCACTAAAGAATTGGAGCACTCCTTGGATCTAGTTGCTGCCACTAAAGGAGATTCAGTAGTTCTCCATCAAGTAAGTCACATCATGAGAAAAATATTAGATGATAATTGATATATTTCCTCATTGTAGAAATATTTTACCCCTTTTTTATTCCCCGTTCAGGCATAGCCTGAAAGGCTACTATTATTTCTCATTTCTGGTTTCCTTCTGTCACTCCCTTTATGTCTCCAACATTTTCTCAGAAATTCTGCAGCAGATATCAATGAAACTTTGCAGGATGATGAACAAGTCTGTTGAATATGCGCGTATTTTTTTTTTTCAAGATTTTCATCAACAATTACTTCTCCCTACTGCACTGACAGAGCAACTGAGCATGCTCAGAATAAATAATTAGCTTAGATTGTAATGCTAGAGTTTTTAGCGATGTTATGACCTGGTCATGACCTTGATCTGAATCAGTGACAGATGAGTCGTACCATTACCAATCTCAGTAAAAAATGTAAAGGGGTGTCAGGGCTACATTTTGATGGGAATTATAGTGGTGATACTGAAACAAACCCACGTCCTGGTAATATACAAAGACCTGAATTAACAAAGAAGTCACGTTGTTATTAAAGGTACATCAAGGTTTACTCAGATTTATGAATGCAGAATGTATTAGACATAGTTTGGTTGCACTTGTGTACTCTGAAATTTTGTACCTACATAGAGTCCATATTAATTCAATTGTTTGCAGATGTTCCATGTATTATTTTAACATGAGTATTTTATAATTAAATAATGGGGACTATGACATTCATGTCTTTGAATTGTATCTCCATTTCTGCTTCATAGGACTTAGAGCAAATCAAAGGCCAATCAAGAGTGGATGTTGAAGGAGATAACACTAGTAATATTGAGAAACCATCAAGTGAGACAAAAGTAGAGGTTGACGCTGGCGATGAGACTGGAGTCACTGAGCTTGGTGACGGTGACAATGAGTTCCATCAAAGATTACTAATGAAAGGAAGAACAGAAACAGGAAAGTTATTGTCAGATGAGGTAAGCTTATCAATGTATTATTTCAATATTTTATGAATGAAAAAACATGATAGTGAGTCACTCTAGGGTAAGCATACAGTAGGATCCTTCATCAGCAGTTGGTTTATGTCTACATTTTTGTGTTTTATTTTTATTCTGAAATTCAGTTATACTAGTAATCCTTCTCGAGCAGTCTAAGGAGCTTCATTATGTATAAAAGTTATTGTACAAATTTCGTTGAAAATATCAATTATGAATAAGTTTCCATACATCATACTATAGGTAGAATAGTAACAATTAATATTACATGCATTTCCTGGACATACATAGGTAGTGTGAACAAGGGAGGAATCTTGTGTACATGTCTTAGTATTTGTTTGTAACAGGAAGTACTTTCTAAAGTGATGGTTACTAATTTGGACACTGGTGAACAGATTCCATTGGCTGAAGCCGAAGATAAGTTACCAAAATGTGTCAATCCATTAGTTTTACATATTATGAGAATTACCTCAGAGTATGTTAGGTAAGCATTATTGCAATAAAATATGAGTTATTATTGTTATGGCAATGTGAATGTTACATTATCATCACAGCCTTTCAGATGGGGACAAAAAGAGTCAGTCCCATGTACTGTTCACATCCTTGGTGCACATAATAGATCTAGTTGTACTTGTCCCATAGAGTAGTGGAGACTTCTGATGCCAATGTGACTGTTATCTAGGTATTATCACTGTTTGCCAGCCAGTAATATAAATTTTGGCACATTCGTTGTCTATCTCAAATAGCTAAAGTTCCTTCAAAACCTTGAAAGCAAGCGCTAAAGCAACAACAGCTTGGACATCAGCAGTGCAGCAAATGACAATTTGTTATGCGCAGTGTCGTTTCGTAGTAGTTTCAGTGACGTCATCTATGTGATATACCATGTGATAACCAGTTTTATTCAATGTCATGTGACTGAGTCTCAACCAATCACAGCATGTGCAACAACAGTGAGATACAATAACTATTAAATCCAATGTCATG